TTCATTGATCTATTAATACGTAAAAATCAATGTAAATCAAGCATCATTACATTTACACAAAAAACCATGGCATTTTAGCTTTTTGGCTTTATACAACAACTCGTTATTCCAAAGAAACAGACTATAAATAAATGTGTACGATGCCTTCCTAAAGATACGTATGGTAGCATATATTATTAAATTAACTGTATAGAAAATAATGACAGGAGATAAACGTAGATGCAAACTACGTCGTCGACGCGATCTTTGTTATTTACAGGCTCGTCTCGCGCAAGATTGCAAGAAAAAATACAAAATAATTAATGTGCATTGCCGTTTACACTCTGGCTAAGCAACATGCGACATTAGATAAAAAGTGGAATGTAAATTGCATTAACAGCTGTAAATTAGACAAAGTAGATTATGGCAATGATAGTGCGAGCAACATTGCAAAACGTCGTAAGACAAGTCATCTCCTTCCATCATGTAGGTTTTCACATTAGAATTGAACAAAAACTCCCGGATATATCGCCTGGCTTCCACCGCGTTTCTTCCGGAAAGCAATGCACACTAGATGTGTAGAGTTTAAAAGTTTTATTATACGTGTGTCCTCATTTCTTCTTCTTTTTCAAATAAGTATACATATGCTTATACTAAGTGCATGTTCCGTTAATCGCGTGCATGCAGATAATTCTTTCTAATTCCTAGTTAACAGCAGAATTGCGTATCGTGTCATTGAAATATCGTATATCAATATATATATTATATTATATACGATGCTCTTATATAAAATGCGATTCTTAACGCGACCGTTGTTAAATCAATATCCAAATATCTGCTAAATCCTATGCTTAGGCATATGTACCTCCTAGAGTTATGCCAATAATATATCCAAGATTTTTGCAATTAACATTAATGTACTACATTTCCTAAAGTGTCGAAGTGAAATAAAACGACATTCGTGATAATATACTGTAAAATTACCAATTGTATCGATTATAAACTAATACATCACAGAAACGAATTATGGTAACATCAACAAGTAACGTGAAAAAAATGTAGAAAGATCTGTATGCACTCAAATTCTAATATAATCAATAATTATGATATTCTAACTGTAAATGCACTTCGCGATCGTGTTCCCTATCCGTTTATTTTTTTCTTTTTTCCTGTAAGAGTACGCTTATCCGTAGGCAATAAGTACTAATTAGATTACAGATACCACACTACTATTATTGCGGAAAACATTGTGTAATATATCGTGTTTTTTTAGTTCGATATTAGGAAGGAATATGTAGCATGTTACGTTAATAATATCGCTCGACTTAAAGCTGTAAACCTATACAAGTAGTAGCCGTATTTCTAAATCAGACAAATGCAAGACAGAAAAGGCCAGAGGTAGAAGGAGAGAACTAAGAGAAAATGATGAATTATACCAATTAGACGTACATTATCTTGTTATCTAAATACTTTGGCAGTGCAAGAGTGACAAATGATGACGGTCATATTTGATCGTAATTTCTTCGCTGTAAAATATCGAAAAGAAAAAAAAAATGAAACCGTATTAAAAGTCGTATTAAATTTAAAAAAAAAAAAGAAACAAAAAAAGGTTTGTTCAATAAATACGGATCACATACATTCAAATAATGTATAAGAATTGTTCCTCCTACTCTTAAATTAGAGAGGAAAATATAATTGGAAAAAAACATTTGTTAAAATTACGATGGGCGGGAAAAAAAAAGAAATTTATCAATTCAGTACGTTCTTTGTAGTCTGTTATTCTGTTAGGTTTTAAATCCAAAGTCTGTAATAATCTTGCAATTCATAGTAAAAATATCGATTTTTTTTTTTTAAAGAAAACAGGATGTATAAAGTACACAAGTAAAGATTTTCTAGGCTATTATTTTATAACAAAAACTATTCTCGATATAATATTCGCCAATGTACCTAACAAGGTAAAGGCTGTATACATATTTCATTAATAAAAAGATAATCACGAAAATTACGACGTTCGAAATAATCGTCTCTCACATTCTTGCATACCGTGATTCTCCATGCTTTCATGGATACTCTTAATGATTTAAAATATACAAAGAGATAAAATAACAAAAATTGTCGAAAGCACGAGGGAGCAATATAACATGAGCGATTACATATATCCGGATATAAAAACGAAACTACTTTATAGTTTCCATTGAAAGTAGAGCGTGGCTCAATAACGAATACGCATGGTCTGAAAATAATATCGTTGCCAAAAAATAACACAAATAAAAAACAACTGATCAGCGCAGATCCGGATTATCGTTAATTTGCTTTTTTATACGTAACAATACTGTTGTATACCACTGATCCAATCTTGAAATTGAATCGTATTCCTTCACTGCTTCTGTGTAACCTTCTAGATTTTGATCCTCCAAATGCTCTATCAATGTCTATAGATGTACAATATTCAAATTATCACAAAGTATATTAAAAAAAAAAAAAAGAAGATTGTTAGGTGACAAATTTAGCGTGAAAACATACCTTTACCAATTTATATTCTCTAGCATCTTGAAAAGCAGGATACTGTTCCTGATAACGCTCAATCGCATGTTGAGCATTTAACGAATCCACGCACAAGTGACATAACGCAGCACGAAAGAAGTATTCCTTGGCGCTATATTTTAGTAAAGAACTTTCTAATGATGCAGAAGCGACCTGTAAAATAAATTGATAAGGATTTAAACATTCATATTCACATTAATCATTTACATTCAAATTAAAAAAAAAATTATAGAAAAATTGTATAACTCGCTATCGCCATATATACTGTATCTTCAATCTTTACCTGCTCATAAATCTGAATGGCTTTATCGTAATTCTCAAGTTGCGCGGCATACTGCGCAACTTTTAAAAGACACTTGTTTGCAGAAGAGTTACTTTCCTCACCGCGGAAATAATCCGCAGCTTGCTCGTAATGATGTACCGCGCGCTCCAAATCAACCGCTTCGCTTTCGTAGATTTCGGCTATACTTTGATGATGTTTAGCTGCCATCGTAAAACGGCCCATGTCGGTATAAATCTCGATGGCTTTCAACAGACAACTGATTGCCTCTGTAAAGATGAAATAACAATGATACCTAAGTTGTTTTTTATTTTGATAAATTCAGTCGCTCGCACTAAATCAATACACTTTATTGAAAAGCTTGCTTCATGTAAAGTGTTTAAATGTGGCGAATAATATAACCAATTTTGACAATGAAATAATATATGTATTTTATTAAATAATACATATAGTTTATTAAATAATATGATAATGTTCATATTAGGCATTTCTTTTCGTTTAAAATATTCATATATGCTAAAACATTTACTTTGCAAATTTTCCAGCTTTTAGTATATGCAGGTCTAAGCTGCGTTCTATTTACCGCTCACAACGCTTATCATTTCATCCTATTTCAAACAAGGATAAACAATGTTTACGAGCTTGCGAGCGTTAAGTAGAACATGGCCCTAGTGTAATGCAAGAAACCAAATTTGTCATTTGTTTACAATGGCAAACAACAAGAATATAATAGTTCTGTTCTCTATGGCTAAACTAGTATGCACTTGTTTTACTTAAAATGAAATAGACACATATTTTTAAAGTTTGATAAAAGTGAGACAGAAACTATAGAAAATTTTAGTGCAATGACAAAGAACAGACTATGTGTTACATTGTGTCATCTGTTTGTCTTGGTCTTGTAAATTACCATTTGTATCAGATTTTTTGAAGCAATTGGCAGCGTCTACATAATTATTAGCGGCATCATGACGGCTACCCGCCTTCGAATGTAAATCTGCTGCATCATAAAACGCCTTGCCTGCTGAATTCCACTTCTTTGCCATCTTGAACATGTTCGCTGCCCGTTGGTAACATTCTATTGCTTCCTCAACTTTCGATGAACTCCTGCAAAGTCAAATCAATCTAAAGTACAATGATACTGTCCATGTAGCCTTTGCCATCCTTCAATAGTGGTATCGGTCGAAATGCAAGAAATGTCAATGTAGGGATTTTGCAAAGACATTGTGATTTTCAGCATAACATCACAAATAAATGATCTTGTGTGATGCTGAGAAATCCAATTACGTATGGCAATGGTACTTTCCGACAAAAGATACAAGATATGAATCATTTCATCTTTGTTTAATATTGACAAAAAAGAAGTAATAATTCATTGTTAAACTATGGCTTTATTAGTGGAAAAACAGCCGATATTAAGCACAGATGTCATGTATCGATACATATCCACACGCGGTTTACGCACACATGGGAGGTTGTTCGCACCATCGTTATTACGATGCAGAAAAGACGACGGAGTCGTAATAACACGGCAATCGAGCGACGAGGACGTCGTGCGCGGAAGTGACGCGGCCGGAATATCAAATCGACGCAGGATTGCGCAGAGGTACGCGAACTGCGAAGAGGTTCATGCGCTTATGATGTATATACGATCGGGCGAGTTCAAGTAGCAAATCGATCGTCTCACCCAAACAGAGCGCCGAAGAAGCCCTTCGATGACGACAGCTTCCTCTCGGCCTCCGCCACCAGTTGTAAGGCCTTCTGCTCGTTGTCAGCCATCTCGACGGTGATTAACCGGTGATTAATTATGTCGGCCCGTTTGTTTTTTTCTTCCCCCGAATGCGAAACCCACTCAAGCGTCCCGATTCATCAACTGCAACTCAATAGTGAATAGATTTCACCTGATCTTACCACCACGTCCTCCCTTCCACCCCCTTCGTTCTTCCCGACGTCACTGGACTGCACTAGACGTCACTAGACTGCACTAGACTCCGCGCGCGCGGACAGATTGCGGATCACGGATGGAGAAGTGAAGACGTCGTGTCGTGTTGGGTGCCAGTGCGTATTGCATTGGCCGTAGATCGCCGTTGCGTTGCCGTTGCGTTGCGTTGTGTATGTCATTGCCGTCAGGGACACCAACTCCCGCCTCGACTTTAAGGCCGATCTCGTGCAACATTTGAAAATCGGCGATGCTTTAAAAATTGGAGCGAGACCAATGAGGAACGTGTTGAATAGAATGGCAGAAGAGTTCTTTGTTCCGATTGGTTACATCAAGTAGATTCAATTAGTTTCAATTAGATTCAGCGTGTAGTCCGTGGTGCTATTTTTAGGAATGGTGTGTTCCGATTTTAAATTAAAAAAATTACAGTAAACTTGAATGAATGTAAATAATCCAGTTTAAGATTTAAAAATGGTTATTTATATTATATTAATAAACATAATTTAATTCAATTGAATTGAATTTAAAATAATTTCTTAAATTTAAAATCAGATTAAATGCCGTTTCTTTCAAAAGAGCTGTAGCACCACGGATTACGCGATAAAATAATCCTGTAACAACTTGAAATCGTTCTCTATCGAAGATGATCTTATTATATAATATCAATAGCCGATATTCATATATGTTTTTATTTCGAGACAAAGGCTAAATTAAATCGAGATAAAAATTAATCTACATTATAGATAGAAATAATAATCATATTAGAAATCATATTCCGTCTTTGAAAAATCAACATTTTTTATTGAACGTCGATTGTGCGCTCTGAATTTAGTAAAATTTAGTGTGACGAGATCTGATCGTCGATTGATATTCGACTCGTACTTCAAACCGCACGCGTGCATGAACGCAAATGATTCGCTTCTGTTTTCTACTTTGATTTACGTTAATTTGAATTGACGACGCATCGTGTTAATCATCGAATAAAATGTCCTTTCTATACAGGCAGGAAATAAGATCGCTACAAGATGGCTCGCCGAACACTTTTGTAATCGGTATGATTATAAATAGCACGAATGTAAAAACGTTCACCGCATCTCGAACTAGATGTACGTATCTCTGCTGTTCTTTTCTTCTTTATCTTATTGCAGTATTCTTGTATTTAAAACGATAAATTAAAAACGCGATACGTGAATTACACACAATGAAATGCGTTTTGAGAATGCATGTATGTAATTTTCCATTGTCGCCCTAGATTTGAGAATCTGTTGGACAAATCGGCTGAATTTTTAATTTTATGTTTAATTTATTTTGCTTATAATCTTACTGATAATTATATTATAGTTAATACTAGCGAACGTGGCGTGTGGACATTCACTTTGCGCGACTCCGAGGAAGACTTTATTAATGTCACTGTATGGGGCAGCACAGAATACGTAAAAAAATTATCGTCCACATTCATCATCGGATCCGTAGGTGAATATTTTATGAATAAATTGTTCATAAATTATAAAGAATGAATAGTTCATTTTATAGTCAATAATATCTAATGATTAATGTCCTTCTTACATTAAAAGATCACTATTATATATATAGGAAATCAATATTTAATCAGATATAATTTAACAATTATTATTATTTTTAAATTACTATTATTTTTTTTAATTACTACATATTAAAGTGTACTAGTTTTCTTTTATTATATATGTATTCAATATATTCTCTTTCTATAATTTATATTTAATACAATATATTTTTTTCGCTATTGATCTAAATATAAACAGTTTCAAAATTTATTTGTGCAAATAAAGCGTAGAAAGAATAACAAATTTATGCATTTAAATATTTGTGATGAATCTCAGAGTATTCTATAAACTCTTAACTGTATAACTCTTAACTGAAACGATATAGGTAGTTATAATAATCATTAAAACTTGCAGAATAGGGTCATTAAGGCCATCAATTGCATCAATGTCTCTGTCTCTCTTTCACTTTAAAACTAGACAGATAGAATTTTAAGTCTTGCTTAAAAAAGTCAAAGTAACGTTGATGCAATTGGGTCTAACACTTTCAGATTTTTGGAAATTATGTGCAACTAAGCTCTTATTCGAGAACCGCCGCATTCACGCCGGTCACATATTAATAAGAGCGTCGTCTGCTTTACAGTGGAAGTGATAAGCGCAAAAATCGTGAAACGCAATCCCAGTAATAAGAACGAACAATTCATGCCGTCGACTTCCAGTCCTTTTACCTTGATCATAAATGAAGGTGCAGCCTTAATACAGAATCACGATGCGCCAACTCGCGAACAATACAAAGATCTGCTGACGCGACCTGTGAAAAATGTGACCTCCGCGAAAAGCCTAAAAACCATTCTGGATAATATAGACGCTCTGTGTGATTGCTTCGTTGACCTTCTGGTCATCGTTACATTTGTAAGTTACAATAAATAAAACACGTCGAGTCTATATAATAATCACGTTTTTCGTGGCTATATAATATATGTGTGTGTGCATGCGTGCGTGCGTGCGTGCGTGCGTGCGTGCGTGCGCGTGCGCGCGTGTGTGTGTGTGTGTGTGTGTGGTGTAAGATTGAAAATATAGATTATTTATTTAATTGAAAATTATTATCCATAATTTGATTGTTTTTTAAATTCTGAATTTTCTTACTGTTATATTGTCTCAATATAATTGTTTAAAGAGGAAGTTGACCATAATTCTTTAAAGAATCAACTTCAAAACTGTCACTTTGATGCTTATTGTAAACATTAATAACAATTTTTAATTATCGTGCCGCAGATTGCTGATGTTCGTAATATAATGACACGAGATGGACGATCCTTAACGTGTCGCAATTTCGAAGTCGCAGATGGATCGACGGATAATACCGTGTCATTGATGTTGTGGGATAAGGACTGGATTGAGAGGTCTGCCTTTTGGGAACCGAAAAAGACAATATTATTCTTGATCGATGCTCGCATTGCGTACGACGAATATAAGAAGAAAACGACGTTAAGTATCTGTACGTTAAAGATCTAATTTGACTTTTAGCATAATTTATTGTTATAATATTTTAGTATCGCCAACTAATATATCGTCAATAAATTTCAATTATAAGAATTAATTGTTAGAATCTCTGAAAAAATTATATCATTGGTAGTATATCTAATAAAAAACCTCAAAAATCTCTGAATATATCTATAAAATTCGGATATAACATTATAATAAATTATTGTATCTCGGTGTCTTTAAAAAGATTCTTTAGAATATAAAACCATTCTCTTTTAAATTGCTTAAGTTTATGAAACGGTATATACGTTTATCAATTCGGTACCAATTCAATCCTTTGGATAGTTTCGCGATGTGTTGCATAAGCATATTAAACGACAATGGATAGAATTGTTATTACATTCGTAAATCGTTTTTTGTTTCACGTAGCAAGACGAACGTTGATCACAGAGTGTCTGAACATACCTCAAGCTGCAGATATTATGAATGCGGTGCAGCATTATGATCCTGATTCCATATGTAGTGATCCGTTCGCTGTACCAAATCGTAAGAATACAATATGCTTAAAAAATGTGTTTCAAATAATATAACCATAATAATGGTAAAAAATAAATATATCTCTGATCCTATATTTTATGAAGGTTAAATTTGACGAAAAAAATTTTTTTTGTGCGTATATAATAATAAAAATTTTTATTATTATTAATTTTTGTAATAACAGCGGAGTCTATTACGACTGTAATGACGGTAAAACAAATCACAGAGAAATTACAAAAGAATAAAGTAACTGCAGAGGGTGAAAGATTGCAATTCGCAACGATCGTAAGGGCTTCGGTAACCGAAATGAATTTGGACGGACCACTCAAAGATGTGATATCTATAAAATGGTACTTTATCTTTATTCTTACGTTATATTATTATCTATATAAATTAAAAAATTAATTGTGCTGTCATTTTTACTTTCATTTTTAGTGCTCTATGTAAAAAGTCTGTCGCAGATGTGCAAGATTCTTGTATGAACTTATCTTGTCCATCTGGCAATGGAATGCAAACACCATTAAATACTGTAAAGTTTAATATAAAAATAAATTTGAAGGACGACACCGGATATCTTATCGGATGTCGTTTAACCGATGACATCGCGGAGCGTGTCTTGGGCTACACAGTTGATGAATTTCAGGTACTTTCCATTTAAATTAAAAATGAACAACTCTCTCTCTCTCTCTCTCTCTCTCTCTCTCTCTCTCTCGGCTTTGTCTCTCTTTTAAAATTGTGAATTTACAAAAAAATACAAATTCTTGAAACATTCTTTGTTAAAACAACAAAATACAACAAGATATGAAAACAAAAGGCAAGAAAAGTTGAGGCATAATTAACAGATTCCATTTTTTATATTTAAAAAGTATATAATTATTGTAGACAATGACAATAGAAAAACGCAGCGAATTAAAATGGCTATATTTGTTAGAAAAATGTGACGTTCGTCTATATATTCTCGGACCAACATCTGTCTTTTCGTGCACCTTGTATAAGGTTTTATCTATTCAACCAGATAATGAAATGGAACAAGCTCTCGAACAGATTGCATCTGTGCCTCAGTATTAAAAATTAATATTTTTAATTTGATACAATTCGTCATAATAATATAAATTTTTTATTTAAGTGCATAAAAATATATCATACAAATTGATATACTGTATTCTTTAGTTTCTAAAATTCTTTAGTTTACTACTTATAATACTTATATGTTTATTGTATATACTTTTATCTCTAACATATTGTATTATACATGTATAATACAAATAATAAATTAAATATTCAAATACATATCTCTTAATATAATTAGATTTTTTGCCTTTAATTCTTAAGTATAAGAATCAATATATCATAGGGTTTTTCATTCATAGTACGTGATAAAAGTTTTTTTTTTTTTCTTTCTGATAAGATTGTCCTCGCAATTTTCACGTGTTACGCTTAAGTTTTTCAATTATGACTGTACTAAGACAAAACAAATTTAAGAGTGCATTCAGACTAGAAGCGTCAATTAACAGCGAGCAGCAAATTAATGGACGCGTTAAAATCGACAAAGCAGCTAACCTGCTCGCTGAGCAAATGAATATGATTGGTTGTTATTTATAGCGTTTTCGACCCGAGTGGATTTGTTCCCATTTAGATTGGGTAATGTT